TCAGTTGTTTGGCGAATCATATTCCGTTTATCGACAAGACCGGTCGCCTTCGAATACCAACAAAAGCACTGGAGGTGGTGTTTTGCTGGCTGTTCGCTCGAGTTTTAAATCCCGTACGCTCGACCCTCCTGATGGCTCGGCGGTTGAGCAAATATGGATCGCAATTGCCACTGTCGATGCAACACTCTACCTATGCGTTGTGTATATTCTTCCTGATCGAGTAAACGATGAATCTTTGATCGAAAAGCATATCGATTCGCTTAACTGGGTGGTTTCGCAGTTAGGACCAAGAGACAACGTTATCATCCTAGGTGATTTCAACTTGAGCTCGATCTCTAGGCAGCGTAGTCCACATGGTTCCCTGTACCCGATTACATCACGATCCTCGATTAGCCTGACATCACGGGAGCTGCTTGATGCGTATAGCACCGCTGGACTCAGACAAATGAGTGGATTTGCAACTGAAAACAATCGTACGCTTGATCTATGCTTCGTCAGTGAGGAACTTTGCGAGCACAGCACAGTTATGCAAGCTCCATCACCGCTCGTTAAAATCTGCAGGCATCATCCTCCTGTACTGATGGAATTCAAGATACGTCCACAGCAACGCTCCCAAGATACCTCTGAAAGCATCGCCTATGATTTCAGAAAGGCTGACTTCAACAGCATGAACGAGTTCCTCGCACATGTCCATTGGGACGAGGTGCTTCAAAATTGTGATGCCAACCTCGCTGCGTCGACCATATCTGGTATCCTGTGGTATGCCATTGATCAGTTCGTTCCCGTGAAGTCTAGACACGAGCCGGCTAAGCCAGCCTGGTCAAATGCTGACCTCAAGCATCTTAATACTGTGAAGCGGGCAGCTCTCAGACGACATAGCAGTTATTAAGAACAGCTGTAGATTCATCTAAGTTACCGGCTGCGAATGGAAAATCTACGCTTCTCTCAACAAGATTCGAAACAGCTTGCAGTAATTTTACAAAATTGTCGTTATCGTCAACATGGTCTAAAACATTGATCACTAAGGTCTCATGATCGGTTATTTTCAAATCAGTATCCGGAACTGAACAAATGGAATCAAAATTGGAATAAACGTGGTCAATTAAAGTTCTACTGTGCCTGGAAATACGCGTATACTCATTTACCGTTTGCTTTAAATTAAAAAAAAACTCAGCTAAACGCTTCAAATGATTCGAATTATGGTTATCACGCCAATTAATATTAAAATCACCAGCCAATATATTTAATTTACTAGAATCAAGGAATGTCTCGAGCCAGTTCTCTAAAACTTCAACAAAACGCTGGTCACTAGAACTGGGAGAATGATACAAAACACCATAATTACCCATCTTCATGCCACGTACAACTGTAATGCCCAAGAACCAGTTGCCATCAATAACTTCGTTGGTACGAAGGTTGAATTGAACTGATTCTTTGACATAAATAGCAACACCGCCAGTGTGTCTAGAATGTGATAAACAAGCAGCAACAATATATCCCGGAATACTATACTGATCAAAAGCTTCAGTTTCTACAATATGAGTTTCAGATAAGAAAACTAAAAGAGGACGTTTATCCTACACAATCTGACGTAATGCTACGTAGTTTGTTGACAACCCCGCAATATTCAAATATAAAAAAATCGAATTGATTCACATTCCTGGAACTTGGCTGCTATTTATTGAAACGCAAGCTGCTTTTCTTCTGATCAAAAATTCTTTTATAGAGCAAACATTCCGAGCTAAATGCGTTCATTTTTCGTTCTTTATTCATTTTCAAACAATTAATACATTTCAATACAGTTGACGTACACTCCGACGTTTTGTGTTGTTGGCTGCACCTAGAGCATCTTTCACAATTTTTGCAATCCATGCTCTTGTGCCCAAATTCTCCACATTTGAAGCATCTCAACACATTAATCGCGGGAACTATCGAGCACCGATCAAACCCTACATTTACTTTTTTCGCACATAACAAACATTTATACGTATCGACATCGACTTCAATTACAACACTAAACTTGTTATAAGTGAAGCGTGGATTTTCAAACATGTTCACTACTTTTACATCATTTAGGGGAAATGACGGCTTCGGCATGACAGACTATTTTCGGCAACCCAAATTGAAACACTATTTTCACTGGATTTTCTTATGAAAACACATCGCTGAATGCATGCAAACGATTCTTTATGCTTTCAGCTTCAATTTGACTATATTTTTACGACGGAGAAAAAGCAATCTAGCAAGGTTTTCTTGAAATGCAACACACGCACTACAAATTGTAGCTGATTTCGAGTTGCCGATAATAGAACAGCAGATTTACATGCAGTTCAAATGGAACGGTTGCCGAAGAAAAACTGGTTGCCGACAATACTCGCTCTCACTAGAGAAAATTGGAGCTTTGTAAAAGCGTTTCAAAACAGTTTTTGACAATTCTTTCGACTGAAATTGTTAGAGCAGCTGGCAGCAAAAGATTGTAAACAAACCAATACTGCATATGTGTGTGTTCCTTAGAGAAAAAGGCTATAGAAAGAAGGTCGCTGCTTAGGTTGCCGAGAATACGTAAATTCCCCTATAGCGATGTCTTCATTTTGACTTTTTAAGTATTCAATGAAGACATCGGAGGAAAACTGATCGCTCATGCCCACTATTTTCAATCTTGGCACCGAAGTGGGAACAACAGCACTATTGTTACGACGCGTTGTTCAGAGGTGGCCGTGATAGTTGATCACTGTAAAATAACATTAACGCGCACGTAAACGATAAAAACTACATTTATTAAAATACGCGACTATCGTGGTAAAAGGTTAACTAGACTAACAAAAGGACAACCTAAATTTAGGACGGTATCCGGTTATGCTGGTGATGACGTCTATCGTATGACAGCACAGCTGTCAACGATGAGCCCAGCAGGAAAGCGATGGAACGTTATGGCACAGGCAGTGTTCCCAGCGCTTCTGTTTCGGTTGCCCCAACATCTCCCCTCTAGAACCGATGATACAGGTTGAAACTCTGGGGCGGTCTTCTAAGTCTCGAAGAACGCCTTGGTAGCTGTACTTTTGGCTGCACCGTTGGTGTGCTTGCAGCAGCCGATTCGAAGCTGGAAGATGTGGTATCCGAGGACGAGGACGATGACGACATGTCCGTGCTGGTAGCCGGACTAGTAGGTGGAGACAACGTTGGCGTTCGAATAATGTCGCTTGCAGTCGTAATTGCTGGATTCCACGTATCGAATAGAGCTTGCAGCGGAAGTTGCTTATGCTTGGACCTTGATTCGAGCAGACTGACGTTCTACTCCTCAGCTGGTTCAGGTGCGATTGGACTAAGCGACGACTATCGGTCAACACGTTGTACATCACTCGTCCTACTCTTTCGATAACCATTCCAGGAACCCAGTTCCAGGTGTTCTTGGTGTAGATCTTGGCGTAGACGAGATCACTTGGACTGAAGGACCTCATACTGGACTTCTTCTGGTCGGCCGGTGACGATTCCGGCGGTGGACGTTCTGGTGATGGACGTAGCAGTTCGAGACAGGTGCGTAAACGTCGTCCGAACATGATCTCCGACGGGGATAGACCTTCTGGCGCTGACCGGTTAGGTGTGCTTCGGTATGCCAGCAAGAACGTATCCAAGGCTTCATCGGTCGAACTTCTCCCCTCTTCAAGCTTCTTGATCGCTCGCTTGAACGTGTCGACAAATCGCTCTGCTTGGCCGTTTGATTGTGGGTGAAACGGTGCAGTTTTTACGTGGTCGATTCCATTCGTCTTGCAGAACTGAGCGAATTCCGAGCTTGTGAATTGGGTGCCATTATCTGACACCAACGTTTCCGGCATCCCCAGGCGCGCGAAGATACTGCGAAGGATGCTGATCGTTGCAGACGCCGTGATGCGACGTGTACGGATGACTTACGGCCATTTCGAAAATGAATCCACGGCGAGAAGATAGTAGTCGCCGTCGATAGGACCGGCGTAGTCCACATGAACACGTTGCCAAGGATTTGTAAGCTTGGGCCAGGGCACAGGGGTCGCTGCTGCTGGTGACTTTGCTGTCAAGGCGCATGGTGAACACGCCTTCACGTAATCGGCGATCTCGCAGTCGAGCGATGGCCAATAAACGTAGCTGCGGGATAGTGTCTTCATCCGCTGGATTCCGGGGTGCCCCCGGTGGAGTTCTTCGCGGCATCGCTTGCGTAGAGGAGACGGAATAGCAAGCCTTTCGCCGAAGAGAATGCAACCCTGTACCGTGGTGAGTGATTCACGACGAAGGTGAAAGCGAAGAAGTTCTCGATCAGCGTCACTGGCCAGGGAATTTGGCCAGCCTTCCTGGACGTATCGGTGGACCTTCTTGAGCACCGGATCCTTCTTGGTGCTTTGTTGTACTGTGTTAAAACTCATGTCACTCTCCAAAGAGACGGAAGCAATCACGAAATCTTCGTCGGGTTTCGCATGGTGGTTGATGAGACGAGAGAGAATGTCAGCGTGACCGAATTTGTCCGTGGCCACGTACTCCATGACGAAGTCGTAAATCAACAGCTTCAGAGCCCAGCGTTGCAGACGGTTGGCAGTATACACCGGGATGCCCTTCTTGCTCCCGAAAATGCGTAGTAGTGGTTGATGGTCGGTTTGGAGGAGGAACTTGCGTCCGAATATCATGCGGTGGAACTTGGTTACCGCATAAATGATGGCCAATCCTTCACGGTCCGTTTGGCTGTAGTTGCGCTCGGCCGGTGCCAAGGCTCTCGAAGCATGCTGGATGACTTTGATTGTACCATCGGGAAAACGGTGACTGATGGTCGCTCCCAGGCCGATTGATGACGCATCGGCCGAAACGATGATCTCCTGCTTGAGATTGTAGTGGGTCAAGAGCAAGTCCGACGATAAAATTGTTTTGAATCTATCGAACGTCTTCTGACACTCCACCGTCCAAACGAATTTGACTCCCGTCTTCAGCAGTTCGTCCAGTGGATAGCGCAGAGCTCGCATATTCGGTACGAATTTCCCCTAGAAGTTTACGGCTCCGAGAAACGACCGAACTCCCGACACGTCCGTGGGTGCTGGCATGAGCTTTATGGCTTCGATCTTGGCTGGATCGGGACGAACTCCATGGTGTTCGAGTAAGTGTCCAAGATATTTAATCTGCTGACGTCCAAAGGAGCACTTCTCGAACCGGACTGTAAACCCGAACTCTTGCAGACGCTGGAAAAGTGCGTTCAGGTTCCGCCAATGCTGTTCCTCATCTTCTCCGCCCACTACGATGTCATCGATGTAACCGCAAGTGTGCTTTAGACCCGCCAACATGGTGTCAACGAGTTGTTGGAACGCTCCCGGCACAGCTTTTACTCCGGGTGCCAGTCGGTTGACTTTGTAGATGCCACGGTGGGTGTTGATGGCGAGGAGCTTACTCGTTGGTTCGTCGACTTCAAGTTGCAGGTACGATTCCGACATGTCGATGATGCTGAATACCTTGCAGTTGGCAAGTTTGACGAAGATGTCTTGCGGCAATGGCAACGGGTATTTGTGTGGTTGGAGAGCGTCGTTCAAGCCCGTCGAGTAATCACCGCAAATTCGGATACTGCCGTTCGACTTCCGAACGACTACAATCGGAGCAGCCCATTCTGAGTAGTCGATTGGTGTGATGATCTGCAAGCGCTCGAGACGGTCCAGTTCATCATCGACAATCTGGTGCATGGCGTACGCCACGGGACGTTTTGGACAAAACGCTGGTCTTTGTCCTGGCTTGAGGTCAAGCTTCACTGTTGCTTTGGTGCACCGTCCGAGACTGGTGCTGAATACTTGCGGATAGGCGGCCTTGAGCCGCTCGACGATGGAGGAAGAGGAGTTGTTTACCTGTCGACAGAAGACGTTCATCGGAACGGAGTCGAGTTGGAATGCTTCCACCAAATCCAAACCCAGGATGTGCAGATCTTGCGCGACAACGTAGATCGATCCCACTTGCGGTGATTGCATTGACGGTGATCGAGCAATCGAACTCCGAAAGTAGTTTCAGAGGATCGCCCGATGCGGTTTTCGCGTTCACTGACGGTGGTCTGGTTGGTGGTTTTCCTAACTGCTTCCAGGTCTCAGTTGATACTACGGTGATGTCCGAAGCAGAGTCAAACTGTAGTCGGACCGAAACCCCATTCAAAAACACAGGAACACATTGTTCACAGCGACTTGTACAGTCTTCGTGTCCACAGTCACTGTTCTCGTTCGTCTCTTCACCCGCTTCCGTGGGGACTTTGTTTCACTTTCGCAGTACCCTTCTTTGTGTCCGTATTGGGTACACTTCGCGCACTTGTGGTCTGTGGTGCATAGCTCCGCACTTCCAACAGGGACTTGGTGGCACTTTTTTTTCACACACTGCACTACGCGACGAAGATGATGCACCAAAATTCTCGTACTGCGATCGTTGCTGCTTCCGGAACCGCTGCTTGATGGCGTTCACTACGCTGCTGGATCCCTCGATCATCACAGTGTCATGCCGAAGATTCAAGAGGCGTTGGCATTCGGAAGACACTTGCTCGAGAGTGATATCCGTCTTCTCCTCGATGCGCGCCAACAATCGGGTTTGGATCTCTGCATCGGACTCCGACTTCAAACCGCAGACGAAAATCAAAGCCTTAAATTGCTCTTCCGAGAGATTTCCCAGCTCGAACTCAACGCATGTTTTGTTGATTCGGCAGGTGTAGGTAACGAAATCCTCGGTCGGTCCTTTCGCTACTTGGAGGCATCGATAGCGTTTGCTGATGATCGATTCCGCTGCTCCAAATAGGCCTTTGAGCTTACCTACGGTCTCTTCGAAGGTGAAATCTTTGGATGTCTTCGGCAGCATGAAGCTGCAATAGCGCTCGTGCTCCGCGATGCCAAGTTTCCGCATCAATAACCTCACTTTTGCTTGGTCATCCAGCCGGGAAGCATCCTTTGCGAACAGTTCTTCATAGCGCGAGAACCACGAAGAAAAAGTAATACTGTTCTCGGCGTCATACCTGAATTCTTTGACGTTGCTCGCCAGTGAGTCGAGAATCGCTTCGGGATTCGACGGTAGCTGCACTTGGATGTTCCGGAGGGTATTTTCTTGCTGCTGGATGAACGCGCGCTGCTGCTCGTTGGCTTGCTGCTGGCTTTGGATGAGCTGATTCGTCACGAGCTGTTGTTGCTGAAGTTGCTGCAGGATCTGGAGGATGAGCGCATCGGTCGGAATTTGTGCCGGATTTGGCGGCTGATTATTTTGACCGGGGCCTGGCATCTCCTGATTGTCGTCCGTTGGAATAGGCAGCTTGCGCTTTTTCCGCGTGGGGGGAGCGATTTTTGTTGATTCGCTTTCACTGCGCGAAAACAAACACTAAAAACCGCACTCCCGAGTCGCCACTGTTACGACGCGTTGTTCAGAGGTGGCCGTGATAGTTGATCACTGTAAAATAACATTAACGCGTACGTAAACGATAAAAACTACATTTATTAAAATACGCGACTATCGTTGTAAAAGGTTAACTAGACAAACAAAAGGACAACCTAAATTTAGGACGGTATCGGGTTATACTGGCGATGACGTCTATCGTATGACAGCACAGCTGTCAACGATGAGCCCAGCAGGAAAGCGATGGAACGTTATGGCACAGGCAGTGTTCCCAGCGCTTCTGTTTCGGTTGCCCCAACAACTATATTTTTCACCCAGATTGCTTTCAATACCAGTTTTTACATCATTTAGATTAGCTCCTGTTGCACACTCAACAATAATAGAGCCATCTTTATCAATCCAATTTTGATTGACAAAGGGGCGCGCCTTTGGAGGGTGTTTCAACACTTCGAAGTTTATAAAAAGCGGGACCATTCAATTAGAGTCACGTGGCAACTGTAAAAAAAATCGAATACTTCATCATTTCTCAATAGTGATGGAGTAATACGACATGCACTAAACTAAGGACACGGGATATACTACAATAGATCAATTTACTGGTCTCAGTAGTGTTAGGTCCCGAACAGAGGGAAAAAACCCCATTTGGTATCAATTTATTATTTTCACGTACATTATACAGGAAAGAGCTTTTTTAGGTAATTTAATCAAAAAATACACACAAAAAGCACGGAATTTTAATGTGCTGATCTATGAAAACTATCTTGCAGCTGAATTCTAGGCATACAATACATAGAAAAGAAAGAAATTTATACATATTAGGTATATGCAGAAATTGAAATTTCTGCCCGGAATTTAGCTGCTGGAGTGCAAATTTGTGACAATATAGCTAAAACACCAAGACACGGGTCTTCCTTAAAGAGAATGTACAAATTTGGCCATAAAATCAAGATTCAAGATTCCATCTGATTCCATTAGCTGGAAAACTTTTGAATACTTCCTGATCAACCTACAACCTACCAAATATCCAGTGAACTTTACTAATACCTTGGACTATATGGAGATCTTTCGAATATTTCCTGATGTCTAGGAAGGATGTTTGAAAGAATTTCCTGTAACTTATGCAACGTTTCCTGAACATCTACAAAACTTAGGTTTTACAAAATTTCCTCAACTTCTTCGAAGTTCCCTGAATTTATTCCAAATTCCATATTTTTTTTTCCATTTCTTTAAATTCTTCAAAGATCTCTGAACATCTTTGCACTTCTGAAAAGACACCTAAGACATCTACAAATATTCTTGAACACCTAGAAAGTTCCTTGAATTTAGCAAAGTTCCCAAAACCTTCAAGAAGTTCATGGAAGTTTTTTTTTGAGTAAGATCTCTGAAAAACTGCAACGAAGTTCCCTAAACTGAAGTGAAGATCCCTGAAGTTCTTAGAAGTTTCTTGAACTATTTCTAGATCTCTTAAAGAATTCCCTAAACTTTTTTAAAATTCCTTACACTTATATGAACTTTTACGCAGCTCCTCAAAATGCAACGAAATTCGAAAATCTTCTACAATTCCAAGTCCATGAGGCTAAAAAAACTGAAATTTTGTAGAGGTTCCCAATCAATAATGAGCTTCCCTAAAATAGAATAATGTTCCTTTAACTTCTACGAAGGTCCTCAAATTTAAATGAATTCTCTACTTTTACGCAGTTTTCAGAACTTTTCCAAGTTCGTTTTTTCTACGAATTTTTCTGAAGGTCTATAAATTTCCCAGAATTTCTACCAAGTTTACTTAATTTCTACGATCCTTTATGAAGTTTCCACAAGTTAAAGAAAAAATCCTGGGCTCATGGCCAATTTGTAGAGCCTGAAGACGTCTTATTGCCATCGATTTGATATAATATAATTTCTCAAAATTGTTTCTTCTAGTCCAGAATATAACAAAAGTAATCAACATTATGGACTTTAAAAATTCTTTGTTGGTGGTCCAATTTTATTAATCACTGTTAAATAGCAGCATTGAACTTAGCAAGCTTGACAAAATACCGGTGAGTCAAAAACAAACACCACCCCCATTAATTACGCCAATGCCGATCAATGATGAATGCAGAAGCTTGAAAAATTGGTTAATTATGCGATTTTTTATGGAACTCGAAGAGGAAAAAATAAAACCGATTCGTCATCAACAATTATCAAATATTCAAAATAAATTTAATTTGAAGCATTACTGTATTTTGTACAATCAATACATTGTATATCGTCCTTGGGATAGAATCACAAAACTGGTAAACAACTTAAGTCAAATTACGAACCACCAGCCAATAACATGTATTTATATGTAGCTTGTGGCAGGTGCGAATTTTCCCTAGTCCAATATTGTTCATATATATGCATCAACCTGCACAGCGAACACCACAGTGCATCATCCTAAGTTTTGCAGCCATGCACTGGGCGATTCTGCTACAACTTATCGAAAGCTTTGGCTGTATCGGTCCATCCATTCGCATCTCAACGGAGCTGTGCGTTATAAACCCACTCGGTTCCAGTCCCCTTTGGTACGATGCACTGGACAATATCCTCACCAAATCGAGCTGCCCTCAGGTGGTCATTTCGTCTGAATCCATCGTTTCGCTTTCTAGAATTTGCACGCTCACTTTGGTCCCACTAGCTAGGGAAAACGTGCGGAACACCACTGAAATATTGAGTCGAATGGTGCGATCGAAAAGTGTTGTTCGATTTTCGCCAGTTGTCTTTATCGGAACTAACGATAGCCGAAGTTTCAGCATTGCCGCGTATCGATCAATGCTGCATCGGTTCGGACTGGTGAAATCGATGTTGATCGAAGATTTGTCAGACAGTGAAAGCATGTGTCAGTACAACTTTATAAAGGATCAGTTTGAGGACGTTCGAGGCAGAAAGATGACAGATTTGCTTGAAGTTGATATTGTGGGGAATGTTCAGGGATATTTGCTCCGCAGTGATTTTTCACAAATTAATAGTAAAGACATAAGGAATGTGAGATGGCATTGGGAATCATATTATAACCAGATGGTTGCCTTTGCAAGTTACGTGAACGCCACATTGGACTGGAATTGGACAAAATTGCGTGGAAAAACAATCAACGGGTATATCAGAAACAGATTCGACCTGTTATTGAAACGGCCTATAATGAATGAAGTAAATGTTTTGAATGTAGTTCCAGAACATCGATTTGGAGGCTTTTGTCTCCTTATACCGGAGCAATACATTGGACCGTACATCTTCTATCTTCACAAGCCGTTTGACTCAGCGCTGTGGATTATAATCGTTGCTATGCTGGCTATTGGATTTTTGAACAGATACATTTTTAAGTTGTCTGCACGGCTCAAAGCGATCGTCCCTCAGCGATGGTTGGAAGTCATGAAGCAAATGATAGTTTTAGCGGTATCATTGCTGGAGTTCGTTCTATGCGAAGCTTACCTTGTTAAAATGATATCTTTCATGTTGACAGTCAAACAGGAACCACACTTTCGGTCACTGGACGAGTTCAATCGTTCGTCGACACCAATCTATATATTGGACAACCTGCCGATGCACAGCATAGTTCGTCAGTATTTTTCGGAGGATCGCCTTGTTTTTGGTC